AAAAAAAAAACGATGAGTGAAAGCTAATTATATAAATTGCTTCAGAAACTGCCATAGACCATGTGGACTATAGATCAGGTCTTAGTTCTCACGATGTTTTCAAAGCCCGACCAGCATTGTATAACTTTTGTTTCAATATAGCCATAGTTCTTTGCTCTTTCGGCAAATCCAAAGTTTGGCTTGGCAATGAAGATTTATTTTCCCATGGATCTCTGGGGTCTTGTCCAAGAAACCAATGTTTAGAGCTTTTGAACATTTTGCTGTCTTTATGTTTTTTAATTACTGAAAAGTCCCTTTGAGATTCTACACAACATGTTGGTTGGTCATATTTCTTTGCTGTGAGAATTTAGGTTAACTGCTACCGGTCCATGGTTAGGTTTCCCATCAGTGATTATTTTATCAATTTAGGCTAAAAAATGATCCTTGTTTAAGAGTAAGTTGTCTGTGTGTCTCCTGACACCAACTCTAAATATCCTCTCTGACACCAACTGCAAATGCAGTTCTTCTTCGAATCCTACCCACTCACAATTAGGGCAGATATCACACATTAAGTGACACTGTGCTCCAGCTTGCTGAGTCTGCCCAAGACTTCATACTCCAGCTGCAAGTTCAGAGGCATTTAGGAAATCCTAACTTCTGACCCGCTGTCTATAAATTCAGGGATTCTCATTACCCCCTCTGGTTTGATAATTCACTAAAATGGCTCAGAGAACTCAGGAAAGCCATTCTTAGGATTACAGTCTTAGTATAGCAAAAAGGATACAAAAGAAGAGACAGGTCTGGGAAGATTTCCGATGTGCAGCTTTTGTGTCCTAAAGGACATGCTAACATCTTGTGCATCAATGCTACCATCAACAAGGAAGTTCATCCAAGCTTCAGAGTCCAGAGTTTTTATGGAGATTTCACTACATAGGCATGATTGATTAAACCACTGTTCACTTAGTTGAAGTCAATCTCCAGACCCACTCCTCTCCTAGAAGGTTGAGCTGAAATCTTGTGGGAGACCTTTCTGCTATGGCCAGCCCCACCCTACAAGAGCCAACCATTAGCATAATTTCCTGTGTAACCTGAAGCCCCCCCATGAAAAACAAGGACTCCAATCACTCAGGAAATTACAAGAGTTTAGAGATTACTTCCCAGGAACCAGGGACAAACACTAGTTTCTTTAGATAGAGTTGGTTACACATCCCACAAAAGCATCAGATTTTATCTACTCAAGATGGATAAACATTTTACTGGTCCAATACTAAGTCAAAAGACTCCATATTTGCCATTCGCATATCGACTGTAATGAAAACCTTAGTCAAGTACAACCCATTGCCATTGAGGCAAATCTGACTCGTGGTAACCCCATGTGTTACAGAGTAGAACTGCTTCATAGAGTTTTCTTGGCTGTAATCTTTACAGAAGCAGTTCACCAGACCTTTCTTCTGCAGACCTGCTAAGTAAATTTAAATCGTCAACCGTTAGATTAGCAGCCTGTTACAAACTGCTTGTGCCACCCAGGCTCATTAGACATGTACATACCAAAGTTTTATCAAAGTTATTCTCTTTTGTCAGTATTCTTCATAATGCATTACAATACATTTTCAGGGAATTTAAATTTCATGAGCTCTAAACTAAGTCCTTCATTATATTCTCTTCTATTGACACTAACAATTGCAGTATTT